TATAGTTTACTGCACTTGATCTGTAAATGGACTTCAATTCTTTGTAATTTTAGGGGGTTAAATTTGGTGGTTAATTTAAAAAAGCAAAAAAAACCCCTCAATGTTGCCTTTACATCACATATAAATAACTGTGTTTCTCTTTTCTTGAAGGGTGATAGAAGCACTGATTAGTAGCAAAATCTTGTTTTAGCTTTTGGATTTTTTTGTGCTGGATTTTTTTACGTGTAAATTTCCAATAACATGTCATTTCTATAAGATTTGTTTAAAACCATGTACCTCTTATTGGATGGTATAAAAATGCTACATATTTTGTAAACAAATCTGAGCAAAGTGTGTGTGCATATATTCTGTATATTCATATATGTATATTCTGTGTATATATACACTAGCGTGTATATATACATATATACACACACACATATATATACACACACGCATAAAGTGTGTGTATATATATACATACCTATATATCTATATATATTAGTGTTTTCTCTTCCAGGCTAGTGAAAACAATGTGGTGCATTGGCGTTTCCCTCCCCTGCCCCCCAAGAAAGTAATGACAATTGCCTCTAAATGAGTGAATTAAAAAAGAGTCCATTTAAGCTGACTGGTGTGCCTTCCTGTGTAAGGAGCCTGGCCAGTATTTGTTACTTTTGCCGTGGATATGTGAATTCAGAGCAGATAAGTATAAATCTTTAAACTTGGTATGTTTGTTTGAAGTGACAGGCCTGGTTGACGCAGGTAATATTGTTGTCCTAAATACTTAGACTGTGTAAGGCATTTGACTGGTACTGCATAATATTTTGAGTGAAAACCACACCACTAGAAGAATCAACATGGCACACATTAAATGGATTAAAATGCGGCTAACTCATAGGTCTCAATGTAATTTTAAATGGTGCTTAATTGAGTGTATTTCCATCAGGATCTTCCAGCAACCAGTTCTTGGCATTGCTTTACTTAGCCTTATTAATAGGTTGAAAAGAAACAAAATCTACTTCGAACAAAGGCTGCACATTAAATAGGTACAGAAGGGAGATCAGACTTGTGAATTATAAAAGGAAAAGCTCACTGATACAGGCTGACCAGAATTACTTGCTAAGCCAAGGGCAAGTAAACTACCTGCATTTAACAGAGCCAAACATGTAGTGTAACGTTACCATCTACTAACTAACAGTCAGGCCACAGATGAAGGAATCTGTTTTGGAGGAAAGTGCCAGTGAAAGTTTGAGGATCATTATATTGCTTGAACACTGCTTCCTAACGCAGTTCTGTTGGCTGTGTCCCCTGCTAGAAGCATTGAATTCTCTGCTCTCCTGAAGGATGTGCTCAGATAGGGACCATCTCAGAGAATGCCTCTAGCTGCCACTTTTGTGAAGGTCACGCTGTGTTTTGAATGATCTGTTGTTGTTTTGTGTCTAAATAAGAGGCAGCATGGTCTCATGTAGAGGGTAGGTGAGGGAGTTTTTGGAATTCTTGTGTTCTTCTCTTAGCTTTGTCAGGCAGCATGTAACACTAGAAAAGTGTCTCATATTTTCTTCAAAATTAAAATACATGCATTGGTTTCTGTCTGCTTGTGGAGATCCCATCTAAGCGTCTTCCAAAAGCCCCACAGGCTGGTAATGAGAATTCATTGCTTTTTTTTTGAAACATCAGGAAGGAGGTGGAAGCACTGCACTGAGATTTTAACAATGTCTGTTTTAAACTGGGTGTTAGAGAAAGGAAGATGCAGGACTGCCTGGAATTGCTATCTAGCAGTCCAGCAGATCTGATCTGTAATGCCATTAAAGTTGTGGTTTTGTTTGGGCAACAAACAGGAGCCATCATTCTTTCTGTTGGTAAAGTTCCCAGTGGAACATGGCAGGCAAGGTCAGTGTCTTGGACTCAGGAGGGTACAAAGGATGATGGAGCAGGTTACTGAAAGCTCAGTAACTAAGCCAGGGCCAGCACCTGGGGCTCCTGGGAAGGTATCACACAATCATTTGAGGGAACTGCTGCCTAGAGACTTCAGCCCGTTCCTCTTTGTTCCTTGATGCCAACCAAACACAGGTGGTTGAAGACCCTTTGCCTAATGTTAGAAGAAGGGAAGAAGGCAATGACCCTGGACCTACATGTTCTTGGACCTGCTTTTTTTTTTTTTACTGTCAGCACCCAAGACTGTTGAAGGATTAGATTTCACCACATGGTCCTACGTGTGACAGTGCTCCTGGCAATACACATCTCTGCTTCTCTGGGGTCTTCCACAACAGCTGTCTTACCTCTGTGCACTTTGATCTCTATGTCAGCTTAAAGTAAATCCGCATCTCTTCCGGTATGGTTTTTTTTTTTTTTTTTTTTTTTTTTTTTTGTTTTTGTTTTGGTTTTTTTTTTTTGGTTTTTTTTTTTGGTTTTTTTTTTTTTTTTTTTTTTTTTTTTTTGTGGTTTTTTTTTTTGCTTCTGGAAATTGGCACAACGCACCATTGGTACTCTGCCATGCCTGTTTTAGATTTGAGAAGGTCTTTCTTCAGGTGCCTGAGTCTTAGAAAAGTAAGCAAGACCTCTTTGTGTACTGCTATGGCCGTGTCCTGCTGTGCCTCCTGCATGTTCCACTGAAGCAGTGTTGGAGTTGTCAGGTGGTTGCTGCCTTGGGAAGCTTCAGTTGCCTCTGGACCAGGTACAGCAATAAGGCAAATGGTATGGGATTGATAAACTGGACTCTTCTGGATAAATGGGAATGGTGTTACAGACCAAGCCCAAGAAAGAACATGAAGGTACCATTTCAGGCTTAGTATCTTCCTTCCATTGTGCACTCTTGAAAGGCTTTGGGCTGAAGCTGTGAGCTCTCAGTGATTTGAGGGGTGTTAAGTTCTCCTGTCAGCAGGACTGGCTGCTTTGGCCAGAAAGGTGTGTTGGTTTTCTAACCACTGTCCCTGTTCAGAAGTGCTTCTTGGAAGCCATCACACCAGGGAAGAGGTGGTTCCTTTCACTGCCTTGCTGAGAAAGATTTCCATCATTTTCTAGTGCCCAGCTACTTGCAAAGAAAACAGTGCAGTGGTTGGGAGCAAGCTGGAGACCACACAATGCCTATTCTCCTGGGCTTTGGTTTGAGATTTGAGCCTATGCAGAAGCTGAAAGAAAACACCAAGTTGGGCAGTGATGTGGAGTCTTTATGCCAGATTTTGAAATGGTGGAGATAGCAGGGTCACAGAAGGATATGTGGAGCTTTTGTCAAACCACTAGACCAGACTTCAGTTTTTGTGTAAATGGCATAAAGCTTATAGAAATTTAAGTAAAATGAAAAACTGGTTACTGTTGATGCTCTGAAGTGTTGCTTTTGAAGTGGTGTTTTGCCTATTTTTATATTTGAAGTACTTTACCAGCTGGATGAGTCCAAATAGTTTTATTTCCAAAACTAGGAGAGGTACCTGCCAGTTCTGTTCACAAAGTGCACTCAGAGGTGTGTTGAAAGGGTGATATTTTTGAGATGCACAGTTTTAGGCTTTGCCATCACCAAGCATAAATCACAAGGAAACCTGAAATCCACGTTCTCTTTTCTGGTGTCATTTAGTACATACATGACCACAGGCATGTAATTGGGCAAGATTTTGTTTTGGTTGCCATCTGTGTGCCTTCTGGTGTGGCAAAGGACCAGAATTGTCATGGAAAATCTGTTCACATACCTGCAGTGAAATTAAATATGCCTTGCATTCAGTGCTAATTAAGTGGACAAATCTGTACAATCCTGCTCTGCTTAATTGACAGTGTACTTATGATCATTTCCATCCAGAGAATCTGATGACAGGTCGTTGTAGCACCTGAAGGTTGTGACTTCTGTGATGGAATTGACTACACAGCTTTTCTGATAGGTTACATCTCACTGGTACTCAGAAATGCAATTCATAGATGGAACAGCATTTGCTAGTGAAGATTTACCCTGCATTTCTGTAGGGCTTTTAATTTTTTGGCAATACTGCTAATTTTTAGGGATGCAACAAAAATAATCTCCCTCTCACTCTGAGAAAGTTCACAAACTAATTTTGTTAAGCTGGTATGTCTCTTGGTTTTGGAGTCCATAGGGCCAGTCAGCAGGGCAGTGCTGGGCAGTGACATTTTGAGCAGTCCTGACACTTCCAATCTACATTTCCTTTCTACATCTTGAGGCAGGTGATCTCTAGGAGGGCCTAGTATGATGAAAGCACAGACAAGAATGCAAAAGAGCAAAATACATATAAATCTAAATAAGATTCATAAAGAGCTTAGTAGCAGAGAGCAAGAATGCCTGATTGACTTTGTCATACTCGTGTGCCTCTAAATAGTAAATCTTACAGTAGAGGTTGAAGCAGTTGCTCAGTATTCCTCAAAACAGTCATCTCTGTTTCCTCATTTTCACAGCTCTGCTGAGACCACTCTTAGGTGTCAGCTGCCACACTGTGGTTCTCTGGAATGCTATTTCACTCTTCATCTCCTTCCTCATTTTCTTGAGGACAGGCAACTCTTCACAAGAAGTTACCCCTCACTTAAACAAATGCAGGCAGAATAACAGGACCTGGACCAGGGAATTAGGCTTTCTAATACCTTAGGATCATTTTGCTGATGTTAATGCAGGTCAGACAGTAAGTTTTGGCTCAAGGGCTCCCTTAATAATTGTTCTGTCTTGCACAAAGAGGAACATGTGGATTACTTGAAGTAGCCAGTACCAATACAGAATAAATACAGTTCCATTCTTGCTGAGGAAACCTGATGGCTAGTGAAGGTATTTTGTTTGTGCAAGTGGAAACCAAACGGACCCTTCTTTTGTGTTACAGTTACCTTTCTCTAAGTGGTAAGTAAGAATATGAGACTTCATGCAAGGGATTGGTACCAAGAATGCAGGTACAGGTCCTGCAGTACTTCAAAAGATGCTCTGGTGCACAGCATGTGGGAAACAATTACATTGCTTATCCACTGTGCTCATGTGTCCTGTCCCACTAACTGTGAAGAAAAGAGTTTGGAAGAAAGGACCCATTATAAGGAAAAGCAAATAGGTATTTCTGGTTTTATTGACTACAGAACAGCATATTCATTCTTTCTTGGACATGGGTGTACAGAACTAATATACAGGACAGATGTGATGATATCCTCCTGTCAGCGCTGAAAGGGTCTTTGCTTTTCTACCCCAGTCCTTGATCTCTTCATTTCCTCCTCTATGGTTTAGCGGATGCACTTTCTTCTCTCAACTTGGCTTTCTTCTCCAGGTTTATGCTTGTAAGGGATTCATGTCTTTTCATAGCCTACAATGTAATAACATCATCACTCATCACCTGAAGGACCACAGAGTTGAAACTTGAATCAATAACTTACCTGACCTATCCTTACCAAGGCACAGTTCTGTCAGCTTTAATGCCAGGAAGCCAAGAGGGTTAAAATAAAATATTGAGAGGTTATTTTGGCTGAAGGTAATTACTTCTCTGGGAATAAATTAAACCTTTTTTCAAGGCACTAGCAGATACATTCTGTGCTTCTGGTCAGTATTTAATACTGATCTGATTTTCATGAGACAGAGAAACAAATCAAAAGTTAAACATAATCACAGACTCACAGAATATTTTGAGATGGAAGGGACCACATGGATCATCAATTCCAGCTCTTCACTGGATGGCCCACTGGGGGATCAAACTTATAATCTTGACATTATTAGCACCATTCTCTGGCCAACTGAGCTCATCTCAGGAAACATAAATAATTTCAGCTGCTTTCAAAACAAGGATTCCAAAGTAGCTGTCCTCTCTTCCTGGTACTTGCATTCATACTTCTCCAGTACAGAGGAAAATGCTCTGGGAATCATCAGTGTTTGATCTCTGCTGTTAAAGCCAGGAAAAAATCCTTCCACTGTTTCATTTCAGAGTGCTGCATCTTTTTCATTGTAATAGACAAATTCTGATAGAAAATGTCAGGTGACACTCAGTAGCTCACAGTGCTGGGGTTAAGACTGTCACTACTTGTAAGGTTTCTCTAGAACACAGCAGTCCATAGAAACCAGACCTGAGCATTGTCATCAGAAGAGAGGCAGCATAGCAAGTAAGGCTCTTCTGCTACGCAGACACTTTAAGCTCAGGGTTTTTTGTTTAAAGGAAGCATCTTAATGGCGACATCATCCTTTTCTGAGGAGAATTAGTCAATGAGGGTCACTTTTGGGGAACCAGGAGGACTTGGTAAAATTTTGTTTGGTGATAAAATGACAAAAAACCCCAAAACAAACAAAAAACTCCAAACCCCCAAAGCAAGACAGTACTAAAAATCCCTAGAGGAGCTAAGAAGTTTAAATGAAGGTTTATTTGCCCTCATCAGCCCAAATTCTGTGCTTACCTGCTTCCCTCTGATCACCATGGTGATGCATCCCACTATTGTCAAGGCAATCATGACATAGCTGAACTTCACACGCAGGGTGGTCTGTGCTGCTCTCACTGTGTCAAGCCTCAAGAAAGAACAAAAGAACACACTTGTTATCAGAGACCCAAATAATTCACTTGGCTAATTATTTAATTTCTTCTAGTGTGCTGTCTTGGTAGTTTTGTGGAATGCTAACAGCACTTGGCTCTGTGCACAAAAAAGTTTTCCAACAGGAAAGGCTGATCTCTAAGTACCTTGGGAGATACATAGTAACAGAGGCATTCCTCTCAAAGCTGGAAACAAGCCCAACTTTTTAATCTTAGCTTTTTCTACTGTTAAAATACTGCCTTTGCAGACCACTTGACTGCAGTGCAAAGGAGGAAGGCTGCAGGATTTAAGTGTGTTTGTTCATTGTGGAAAGAACAGGGAAAAGAGAGGAATGGTTTAACCAATACTGTACTTTTCTTACTGTCAGCTCCCTCTGTGCTCACTACCACCTTCCAATATCTGCAAAGCCAGGGAGAACTCATCTGTGTTATAGCTGTGATGTATTTAACATAGTAAAACACGAATTCTTCTCTCAATAGCAGAAGACTGGTAAAACCCAAAACGTGGTGTTTTAACAGTTGAGAGTTCATTGGGCAGAGGGAAGCATTAGCACAGCTTTGCAATTTCTTCTGCCTGAACTTCACAGTGATTTCATTTATGATGCAGTCTTATTTCCCAGCAAGGTGCTTCCTCTGCTTCAGGACTTGAAAGTGCAATAAGTGACACACAAGCTGCTGAATGCAGCACTCAGAAATTCTGAACACGACTTGGTAAAAGACCAGTGGTCCCCACTCCTGCTGGAGTAAATAATCCTAAAGTGATCTGCTTCCCTGAGAAACAAAGGAGGTGTGGAGGATTGTAAGCTTTCCTACATCAGCTCTGGACAGAGGAACTCTTTAAATTTATTTTTTTTATTCATTTTAGGGGGCTTAGCTAGCCACACCAGTAGCTATACCATCCTTTTGGGAAACCTGTCGCCTACTCTGCTGTTTGAAAAACCAGAAGTCTTCCACCAGAAGAGTAGCAGTTATTGACACCTTCCAGCTGTGTAGAGAGTAAAAACAAAAGATCATATTTTCTTGAGTTAACTCTGAAGATCATTCTACCCAAATGGCATCTTGGTTACAGCAGGTTTTCAGTCTGTGTAAGAGAAAACAATGCAAGAAGGGCCAGTGAAGCATTAATGCTTTTTACAAGTGCTGTCCATATAACCAAAGACCTACACCCTGTATATTTAACTCTCCTTGCAGAATTTAGGGCAGATAACTCCCTTCTCAAGGAGGGCTGATACACTGATTATATTTGGCGCATGACAAAATTCCAGAAGACTGGAGAAGCACCAACACTGTGTAATGAAAAGAATAAATGCATCAAACTAGGTTAATTATACCCCAAAACTAATGTGGAGAATGGATTTAATGGAACTGGGAAATTACATGGAATCTGTTACTACATTTTGATCCTTACATTTGGAAGAAAAAAAAAGGTACTTCAGGATCCATGGTAGTTCAGCATGGTAAATCACACAGGACCTGAGAGCTGGGAAGTTTTGTTCTTGTTTTTATCAGAGCATTGATTTGAGTACAAGATTTCTGATCATAGGGAACAAACACATCCATCTACAATGAAACTAATGGTTAATTTTAGCATCCAGGTTATTTGCTTCTGCTAATAATCTGCAGTGAAAGCCTTGAGTGCAGGCTGCAATTAAGCTGAAATGCACAGCAGTAGGATTTTAAAAAGTTTGCTAGTTAATTTTGGAAATAACTTAGATGTGCTAAGAATTTACAAGAGCAAAAGGTAGATATCTCAAAACAACTTGCATTTTAAATCAGTTCAGTTGCTAAGTTTAACATTTGTTTAATAAATGAGTTGCTTCACCACATTTTACGAGATTACTGAGTTATAGCACAAGTCCTTACAACACATAATTAATCTCAGATTAATTAATTAATTAATCTCAGAACAGGAAAACAAGTTTTTGTGCTTTTATAGTTCTCAATTGTCTTCTCAGATTTGGCTGAATTATTTGTCTAAATAAAAAGAATTCCCTATGCACTTGCAGAAATGGTCAGCTTTTATCAGAAGTTGGTTTGTCCTTTCAATAAACTACTGAAATCAATCACTCTGCTAACTCTGTTTTCTTAAAAACACTCATAACAAGTGTTTGGTATGCAAAAATATATGAAGTGATAGTAAGTTTTAATAATTTACTCCTGTATGTATATCAAATGTAGTTTTAAGAAAAATTATTCAATACAAAATGGAAGGATTCCACTTTTAACAAAATTCATACAGGAGTGGATTTTCAATTCCTACATGGTGCATCCAAACAAACAGAAAATATGTAAGAGGGCAGCTACATCATTTTCTTACTCAAGTAGTGCAAGATTTACTGTTTCTTTTTAATTTAAATAAATACATGTACTTAAAACCATTACGAGCATGTTTTAAAAGATAACTATACTAGGAATGTTTTTTAAACTAACAGTTGTCTATTGTTGATAAGTTTGATCTTTATTTTTGGTATGCAAACCAGAACATTTTATTTTCTGCTTTTGACACGGGACAAAGCTTTTGACATTTGAACTCAGCAGCAACACGAAAATTTTGACTATATATAGTTAGGGAGCTTTAACACTGTTTGTTAGTTTAAATTCCAACAGTAAAGGAAGTTGGCCCATGCCCTTTAGGTATTCATTAATAAGTACTTAAATGAGTTTCAGTTATTTTATAGCCGTATATGAAAGTTTCCCACCGCAAGAGACTGACATATAATGAAAAACACTAGAAAAAGCTCACCCTAATGTTTGAAAAAAGCTTTCTAATTGTGAGAGAAGAGTAAAAAAGAAATGATGTGACATGGTTTTCTAATGAAACAACTGATAAATGCTGGTCAACCCTTTGCGAAAAAAGGAAAAAAAAATCAAGAGGGATACATTATCTTAGCACAAGAGAATTGCTGAGGTCATTTAATCTACAAGGATGATAAACCAAACACAGCAGGGTAAGGTTTTTCAGCTGTGCAAACCCATTCCTTTTCAGAGAAGTTACTCTGGAGTTGCATGCAAGTAACTTATTTCTGCATAGACAAAGTCTCTTTTACAGTTTCAAAAGCAAAACTTACGAGACAGTCTCTGGAATATCCTCTGGCTTTTTGTAATGGCCTGCCCACAACAAACACCTTCTCTCCCAGGGTGTAGGCCTGTGTCCAGGCACTCCCGAAGCAGATCGACCTAAAAAATCCCCAACAGAACACACAAAGACACAACAACAAAACAACACCAAAAACAACAGTCAGAGAGGCTGGATGGTCAGAGCTGTAACAAAACCAGTTAGGGTGAGCAATGCACAACTCTAAATATGATTGCTAGAGGTAGTTAGAGAATGAAAACTGTATCACAGATTAACAAACGTGTGAATATGGGTGAAACTGAAGCCACGTAAGGAAAGCCAAATCCTTCTCAAAACCTCTGTATCTGCAGGTCTAAATATGCAAAAGCTGCTCCAGCATCTAAGGTTCCTAAGGTACTGTTTTTATATTTTATTTAAAAAAGGTTACAAAAAAAGAAATCAAATGGAACAGCTATAGAAAAGTCAACATGCTGCACAATAACAATAAAAGCCAGTGTAGCATCACAGAATGTTAACTTTTTCAGGCAGTGTAAGATTTTATCTGAAGGTATAAATAAACAGATGACCATTAGCAAAGACTGGACACATAATTTTCAGGTCAGTCTTTCAAACGCCAGGAACAAAATATTCATAATGTAACAGGGGAAGCTTTTCATATATAACACACCATTAAAATCAAAGAAACAAAGTGCAAAGATTGACAGCTTCTTCCTTTAAAACAATAGGCAGTATCCTGTATGGCCATGTTCTCCCTCATGGATTCCTGAATTACCTAGGGAGTGGGGTGGATACAGTGTGCTGACAACAGCAGGTTATTCAAAAACATAAAGAAGAGGGCTGAGCCCAAAATGCACAGAGCTTTAGAACCCAGAGTCAATGAATTGCCCTGGGAACTCCCTTGTCCATAAACAGGAAGCAATTCCAGTTCACACACAAGTGACAGACTCTGCCCTCACTTATAAATCATTACCTAGGCCTGGGCAAGGCCTTGGGGTTCCACAGTGGTTTTGGCAAGTGACAGAAATGAAAACAGCAGGAACTCAGACCAACACAACAGCATTACTGTGCCTCTGTGTAAAACTGTGACTCCAGCTTTTTGAAAGGCATGGGAAAGACTTAGAGGGGGCTGAAATAGAAACAGGCACAGGTATGGAATGCTCACCATGTAAGAAACTGTGTCACAGACTGAGACCCTTTGGCCTGGAAAGCAGTGACTGAAGCTCTCTTCAGCCCAGCAGGGCATTACAAGAGACATTGGGAGTGTGGATTATAATGAGGTCTTGGTTTGGAAGGGGTACTGAATAAAGGAAAATCAGATTATAAAACAGTGCACATTGGGTTAAAAAATAAACACAAGACTGTAGCTGAGGAATTTCTTAGAGAAGAAGTTCTTAGGGAATTTTAACATCCACATTCTTAGAGAATGTGGATGCTAAAAATACATCCAGCTTCAAGAAACTGGGCAAATTTGTGGGGGGAAAAAAAATCTAGTGAGGATTATTAAACACCAAGATGCCCCCTCTGGGGCAGTGGTATAGAGGAATCCTCTTCCTATTCTCTTCCTTAGGTTCTTGCTGTAGGTCACCATTCCCACTTCACAAAAGCATAAGGGACTTCCTTTACTAGTCCCTGCTGGAGACATCACACTTTTAAGGAGACCTTTTGTCCTACCCAGAGCAGCTGATCCATGTGTTTAACACAGAGTCCTGCCAAATGCTTCACATCTGTGTGCTCCTTTTCTCCTGCATGGGTGGGCCATAAGGAACCTGTGATACAAGGAGCACAGAAACTGTCCCAAATATAGTGAAAAAACGTTTCATGGCCTGAGCTTTCCCTGACCAGCTCCACCCTTAAAAATGAACAATTCAGACTCTTCCCTGCAGGGCACGTTCAGTTTTTGGAACAGCTGGAGCTGGCTGCACTCCGAAAAACTGCAAAAGTCTTTTAGCTCACACAATATTCCTAAACATGAACAGTTTACAGTGGGGCTGAACAGGCAGTTCCAGAGCAGAGCTGAGGAGCCTCAGCGTAGGAGTGTGCACTAGATAAGGCTCTGGTGATCTGCTACAAAGTGAATGCTGTGTGACCGCCACAAGTGGAAACATTGACCCCTGGCTTTTTGTTAGAAAACAAGACTCAACCAAATTTAATGCTCCATTTTTCAGTCTAGAGACCAGAACTCTCACAAAATCAGGGATATGACCACCTGTGTCAGCCAAATTCCTGTTCAGATGATTGCAGCATGGATATGTGAGTATTCCATAGCATGAAGCATTCCATGACTTTATCAAAGACTCTTACTCTTTGTCTGAAGGTCTTGCCGGGGTTTAACACACAGCCTTCTGCTTATCTGCAGGTCTACTCCCTCAGTCATCCTCAGAACCAAGGGAATGTTTCTTCCCAGCAGTTTAACAGCCCTATCTGGGAGAGAAAACAGAGGAAGCCAAGAGGCCAAATTTAACTCAGAGCAGTAGAAACCAGCTTTGCAATGGAAGCATTTCAGGGGTTTTTTTTTAACACGAGAGGAATAAAAGAAAGAAAACCAATAGGTAAAAATGAACCCAAGAAGTACCAGTTTTAGTTGTAATAGCCCACCAAAGAAATGAAAGCTTAATTATAAGGTATGCCTTGAGCTTGCTCAGTAATCTTATGTAGAAAAATGTGAATGCAATTAAACTAATTTAGGAAAAAAAAAAACAAAAGCAAGATAATCTCCTGCCAGCAATTTCTGAAACACATTACAATTTCCAGAAACTAATCTATACATATGCTTTAGATACACTTAGGATGGTGCTATTTCGAGGACTGCACACCAGCATTCTACCAACCTTGTCACATCCCAAAAGCATTGACAGAGTCAAGTCAAAAAGGCAGAATATTTACACTGAGAGGTAACTACTTTGTAGCGCATTAGAAAAGGCAAGAGCGCCTTATATACAAACACATACTTCAAAGAAGGCGCTTCCGATGCATTAATTAATAGAATGAAAAAGTTCGGGGGAAAAAACCCCAACCAAACTAACTCAGAAACGCAAAAGGGGCACTTTAAAAAACCTAAAATGAGTTATTTTTTACTTAGTTTTACTGTCTGAAAGTGTCTCTCCTACGGCCCTTTACTTTCGAGGAATAATACACTCCCGCTCTGAAAAACCAGTAATTTACATTTACGGGCGACACCCCCAATGAACCCGGCCCCTTTTCAAGCTCTTTATAGAACCCGGGGCACAGCCCCGCTCCTGTCACTGTTTCGGACACCAGTCCATCAGACACGGCCCCTCACGCTCGGCTCCGCTCCCGCCGCAGCACCGGCCGGGGCCGCCTCTCCACGCTCCGGGCCCGGCCGCTCGGCCTCCCGGGGAGGCGGCGAAGCGGCGGCAGCCCCGGCCCGGCCACAGGGCTGGGTCTCTCCCCGCCCGCCTCACTCACCGGCGCGGCCCCACATGGCGCTGCCTCGGTCCCGCTGGGCGCCGCTCAATGTCACCGCTGGGCCCCGCCCCGGGCCCGCGATTGGAGGGAGCCGCGCCGCGGGGCGCCCGGGGCCGCCGGGGCCGGCACCGCCTCCGGTGGGGGCGGCCGGAGCTCTGGCAGCGGCTGCAGGAGGCGAAGGGGCCGCGAGGCCGCTGCCGGTGGAGATGCCCGACTGGGGGCCGCTGCGCCGGGGGCCGCGCTCCGGCGGGTCCCGCCCCGCTCCGCCCCGCGCGTCATCCCGGCTCCCCGCCGGATTGGGCGCCGCGGCTCCCTCGGCCGATCCAGGATGGCGGCGCCCAGTGGAGCCGCGAGCTGCGAGGACTTCGCCGAGTTCCAGGTGAGCCGCGCGGGGCGGGCGGGGCCGAGCCGAGCCGAGCTGGGCCGGGCCAGGCCAGGCCGGGCCGGGCGCTGCCACCGCCGCCGCCCCCCGCGCGCTCCCGCCGCCTCCCGGCGAACGGCCCCGCGGGAGCGCGCGCCCCGCGCGCGAGGTCACCCCGCTCCTGGCGGCCGGCGGGATGCGGCGGGAAGGGAGCAGGGTCCGGCCTTCCCCCCCCTTCCTTCCCCTTCCCTCTTCCCTCCGGCAGCAGCGGGGCCGGGCACCTCCCCTTCCCCGCAGGTCCCGTTCCCGGGACGGAGCGCTCGCGGCGCGGGAGCCACGCGGGCGGCGGGAGCTCCGCGGGCGCCTCCGCGGCGTTTGAGGGAGCGGGGCCGCCACCCGTGTCTTCGGCGCTGCGAGCGGGGCCCAGGCCGGCCGGGCCGTGGGAACCGGCCGGTGCCTCCAACACGGAATCCCAGAATATCCTGAGTAGCTCGGGACCCTCAGGAATACCGAGTCCAGCTCCTGACCCTGCACAGGACACCCCAAGGGTCACACCAGCTGCCTGAGGGTGTTGTCCAAACACATCTTGAACTTGTCGGGCCTGGTGCTGTGACCGCTGCCCCGAGGAGCCTGTTCCAGTGCTCTGCCACTCTCTGTGAGAAAAACTTTTTCTTGAAACCCAACCTAAACCTCCCCCAGCTCAGCTTCACGCCCCCCGGAATGATGGGGGGTTTTATTCAAAGTTTGCCGTTTTGGTGCAGGTTGTGCCCGGTTTCCTGTGTGGAAGTGGGGATGGGGACTTGGGCAGAGGCTCTTCAGCCTGTCCATGCTGCCTGCAGGGCCAGGGGGCTTCAGGGGGCATCAGTAACTCACCCCTGCTCTGGCCTTTGCTGCCAAGGAAACTCCGTGGTTTGCAGCACATACTTCTGCATGTGGGATTGTTCCTTTGGTGCGCTTCCCACTCTTTGTAAGGAATCCTATTTACTTTCTATTAAAATGCTTGACTATGCAAATTTTTTGTCATAGGCTTTTCTGAGAGATATAACCAAGTATCTCTCTCTCTCTCTTTTTTAATACAGGAGCTGCTCAGGGTGATGAGGACAATCGATGATAGAATTGTTCATGAATTAAACACTACGATTCCAACAGCTTCCTTTGTGGGGAAAGTTGATCCTGGCCAGACGTGTAAAGAGCTGTACGAGTCTGTGAGTGTGCTCACCTTCCACTTTCAGCTCCCTTCCCACTGCTTTGTTGTGTGCAGTGGCCACTGAAACATTCCCAGGGTCTGAGGAAGACACTGCCTTGGTAGATCCTGCTTTGTGTATTCCTAGCTGTCCTGCTCAACATCTCCATGCACTGCTTGGAGTTCTTTGTTCTGCAATACTGATCCTTTGGGGATCTTTTAAAAAAGGTGCTTGCTTTTCCTGCTGCTCTGCAAGACTACTCATGTTTACCTTTGACTTTTGATCAACTTGGTAAGAGCAAGGATGACAGGATAGTCTAAATTGAGAGTAGCTGCTGCTCAAAGCAGTGTTGTTTCCCACATGTAGGTTATGAATTCAAAGGGATTTCTGTAGGCACAGCTATACCATGACTCTAGAAAAGTCTTTAAACTTACAACTGGGAGGTTTTTATTCTCTGATGAGTCACTGTGACTTTCTTCTTCTCCCCACTTAGTTGATGGATGCTCACACCAAGAGAGAAAGAATCATTAAAAACTGCATCTCTCAGACTTCTGCTGTAGTGAAAACCCTCAAAGAAGAGAGGGAAAAGGCCCATGAAGATGCAGCATTATTAAAGCAACTCAGGAAAGAGCAGACAAAGGTGAGTGGTGAGTGGAGCCTTTGAGAGATCACTTATAGAGGAAGAAGAAGTGGGTATCTTTCCCAAATGGAAGGACCAGTGTGATGGAGAGAACCTGAAGTGGATCCTGAGTCAAGCAGTCTTTTCCAAGGTTCTCATTGGGTCTTGTTGGGTCTTGTGAGAATTATTTTCCCAAAGTCTCCCCAAAGGCAGAGAGCTGCTTTTATCCTGCAACTGGAGCATTTCCTGAGATTCTTCTACATGAATGCTGTAGAAAAACACATATTCTTTCCCATGGTGGATTCTAACCTTCACTGACTGACACCACTGAAGCACAGCTTAACTTTTCCTACAAGATGTTTGTTCTCTACAAGATGCTCCCAGGCAACCTTGAATTCCACTTATACAACCTTTTTGCTGTTTGGTATTTCTTGGATTAATATTTGGAGTACCTTGTGATGGTGTGAGAGAGAGACTTCTGGGTTGGCATACAGAATTCTAATGTGCAAATGCCCTCTCAACCTTCTGGCCTGTCGGTGGGAAATATTTTACCACAGGTGACCAGAGGGGATTGAGTATCAGAAGCGGATAAAGGAGCCCCATTGAAGTTCTCACCTCACTTCCAGGGCCCCTTTTGTAAGGAAAAGGATACTGAGAGAAGCATGTGGCAGACAAGCAGTTTTATTCTTAAAGCCTCACTTACTGAGCTGCTAACAAGCATGGATATTAGTCTGGAAAACTGGAGTGGTTGCTTAGTATTTTCTACAAATTTTGTTAGCAGAGCCAGTTCTTTAAATCATTTAGTTACTGAGACCAAAATCTATCTCTGAAAACACTGGGAAGATCACAATCAAAGTGTTTAATGATTGGGGGTGATTTCAAATGTTGAAAGCATTCCTTGACTTAGAAACATCTCAGAGTTTTTTATGAGATCACCTCAGATTTGTACTTGGACCGTAGGAGGTGTGATCCCCCCTGCTTTTTTTTTTTGTTGGCTCTCCAAAACACAGAGAGTTATGTTTTTTCTACAAGTCAGAAAAGCTATCTTGACAGAGCACATCCTAGTTTTAAGAGTGGGAATTTCAAATATCTCTTCACTTGCTTGCAGTACAGATCTCTTTTCCCTTGTTATGTGTGTTTCTCTGATCCTGCTAGTTGTACAACTTGGAGGAGTTCATGCAAAATTATTACTTCTGGGTCACTGAATGAGAAAACTTGGAGTAGTATTTTCTTTGAAATACTAAAGATCCTCTGAGTGTTTATTTTATAGAGGCTATCCTGGTCATCCAGTCACTCTGGATGCTGGATTCTTATTTCAAACAGATTGATGTCCTGTTGAGTTGGGGAAAGTGCATCCAACAGCTGTAGCAACTCTGTGTCCCTGGATATCTTACTTGGAAGGTTTTTAGTGGGATTGCTGTCTTGGCTTGCACCTATTCACCAGGTCTCTAATTGGAACCATGTATTGAAAATGGATAAACTCTGACTCTTTGTCTGTTGTGTTAAAGACTCCAACAAGAATACATCCTAAATTTGGGCAAAATGGCAGATGGTTCTTAAATCTCCTACTATTGCCTCAGGACCAAATTACCCGAACACAATTGTCACACTTGGCCCTTGGGGTTTCTAGTAGGTGTGAAACAGAGAGAGTCTTACCCTACTCACAGGTCAAGTGAGTGTTCAAGAACTGTGTATCGGTGGTAGTTCTTGCCAGAGCTTTTGCATCTGTGTAGAGCTGGTTTGTCCTGCAGTGATGACATGAAATATTAACTGGTTCAGATGGCATGAACAACACATGATCAGACTGCAGACCCTTTTTGGTCAGTGCACGGAGTAGATAGCAAATGAAGCAGAGAGATAACCTCAGTTTAAAATCCAGAATCCTAGCTGGATTCCTAGCTTTGCTGCCAGCTTCATATATGACTCTAATAATGCAAGAGTGGTAACTCAAGGCTGCAGAGCTAACCCCAGCCCTGGCATTCCCTGTGCTCAGTGCTTGCATTAGGTGCAGTTATTTGTGCCTGTGAAGCCATCAATGTTAATCAGTTAATTGCTAGCAAATCTGGATGGGCATTATTTAGGAATATAGCATGAGTAATGAGGATCTACTGCCAGGCTTGCTTTGTGAGTCTGCCTTCACTGTGCCCTTGCAGACCTGTGTGTGCCCTGAGAAGCGCCAGGCTCCCAGGGTGATTACACATCGTGCCCTTTGGTTTGCACCATCACAGGAGATGTGCACCTGGTGCTGGGGTTGGGAGCTGGAAAGTTGCACTTGTAATAAATACTGAAGGCTGCAGGGAGACCTGTTTGACAATAACCCTTGTATCTGTTGTTTTCTGCAGTTGAAATTGATGCAGTCGGAGCTCAATGTTGAAGAAGTGGTAAACGACAGAAGCTGGAAGGTACTCAGTCATTTAATAGTGATGATGTTCTGTCCCAACAGACAGTCCTGCACTGGAGGGGTGGGACTGGTGCCTTGTGAAGCAGCTTAACTAGAAATAGATGAGGGCACTGCTGGGGGAAATGCTTCAAGTCAGTCATTTTCCCAGTTCTGGATGCAGAGATCAAAACTTTTCAGTTGCACTGCCAGGGGAAGAAAAGTATCTGATTTAGCATGGAGGAAGGAGTGTGGATTATTCCCTGTGTCCCTTTGTCCTCCTTGCTAGGGGCTGAGCACTTTGTAGGCTTTTCTGTGGTGACTTCTCTGAAAAGCTTTTTAGGGTCTCTAACAATGTCAGAGAGAAGGGTTTTTCACATTTGCCTGTATCTCGTGCTGATCACAACTCAGCAGAGCCCAGGAGAGGGTGAAGCTGTAGAAGCTGAACCTTTTCCTGATGGAGTTTCTTCAGGCCTGAACAGACACTCCCTGGTGCAAAGGGCAGCCTTGCTGTTGCACTCCTGTGTCAGCAGAGGGTGCAGATCACCCTCTGGACTGATGGCCCGAAGTCTGTCCACTGAGCTTAAATTCTGAGGTGGCTGTATTGTGCCACTGCAGCGTTTCACACCTGGCATCCTTTTCTGGTTTGATGTAGCTTTTCAGAGCTTTCAATACTGCAGAGAACCTCTCTCCCTCTCTAAATGCAAAAAGGAATTTTGCAAATAGCCAGTACTAGCTGCACCTTCCTTTTAAATCACTACTTCATGATTTTAGTCCCCTAGATTGCACCAGTGTAAAACCAATGCAGCTTTATGTCTTGGGTGTTTGTCAGTAACCTCAGTGCAGGCTGATGAAATGAGCATTTACAGTTTCCTGCATATGCTTTGCCATCAGCACACCTCTGTACTGTCCCAAAAAAGCGAAGCATGCACTTCAGTTTAATTTTAAACCCACTCAGATCTGACTAATCAATGCCACAGCCTTACCAGCAACATCCTGCAGGTCACCAGGGGCAAATATTTCACAGCAACTCTGCTACAGGGGAACAGCCCCCAGCCTACTCTTCACTCTGAAGCACCAAATTTAGTAATGATCCCAGAGGTTTCTTGTAGCTGCATTAAGCTTTTACTGGTGACAGAACTGTCTAATTTTTCCTGAAGATGGAGAGTTTAGAAAGAGTGAGGTATGCATGGTGCAGGGGTACTTTAGCCTGCTAGTGTATTCCTCAGCCAATGTTCAGAGTGGAGCTTGAAGAGATAAATATTTCTGGGTTTTATCTCCAGCTCTGCTGTACTGTGCTCTGAATATTCACATAAATATCTCTTTTAGCTGCCTGTTAAAATGTCAGTTAGAGCCAGTCATGGTTGCAGACCGAATGCAATTTGTTACATGGAAGTGATTATTGGTGTGCAGGCTGGTGTTTTACTGTTGTAGACTTCTGGTTGGGAAGTATACTTGTGTATTTCCATTAATCCTGAACAACCAAAAACTAATTGGAAAAATCTGATTAGGAAACAGATTTTTAAACACTGGCTGACTGTAGCAATAGTGGCATACAGATGGATGCTACTTTGGAGAAATGCATGTGGAATTTGGATGATACCAAACAAGGAATTGACTTTCAAACAAGACACTTGCATTAGTCTCTGTCCGGCACCTCCAAATTGGAATTTTTTGTTGGAGTGGTTTATACAAATATGTAAAAGCCAGCATAATTAAACTTTTGACTAGTAACATAAATTTTAAGGTTTCTCAGCCATTGCTTTTCCTGAAAAATGTGTGAAAAATGAGAATAGCACTTCATAAGTAGACCAGTGGATTTAAGTGGCCCGAGTAACACACTGAGATCTGTGAGCCAATGATCCTAAAAGTAGGAGGCAGCGTTAGTAAGACTGCAGTGTTGATCATCCTGCCACAGGCTGTGGAGTTACTGTTGAAGATAATTTGAAATTTTAGCATGATAGTAAGCAAGCTGGCATTGTTTGATGCTACAGACCCTTGCAGTGCTTTAGAGAGTATTTCCCTTTTAGGCATATATACCCTTTTAGACATATATACTATTAAAATGTCATTAACAGATGATGGACAAAAACCAGTTCCATTTGTTTAGTAGTAAAATGTTTCTGTATTGGACTTCATGCTGTTGCTCTTAATTTCTCCTATGACTGATCTCAAACCTTTACCTCAGCTGAACTCTTCCAAAGGTGTCCATTCCATGTGGCAACATAATGGCTGCACATTTCTGTGTGTGAAAGGAAGTATATCACAGCTTTTGTTTTCTGCAGTATGAAGCAGTTTGTAATGCATGTCTATTTCTTTAAATAAATTAAATTTGAAAGGTAGTTGAAAATTGCTCCAAAATTATTGAAAAGCAACGCAGTAACTAATGTGTGCTCCAGGCTTCACTTTTGCTGAAGTTGCCATAGGTTCTGAACTGTGAGTAAGATCTGCTGTAGAAGATTCTAGGAAGATAGAGCTTGAAATTGTGTATTTATATAATATGTTGGATAACTTCCCCAAAATTACAAGATCACTCACTCTGCACATAAAGCCAATGGGAGAGTTCATGAAGCTTCATATCCTGATGATCACAGGCATTTGGGTCTGCCAAATCCCTGGACAGCTTGGCAAAATATGCTCTTGTGGGAATGCTGGTGGGACAACCAACACCTGCCATAGCCTCAGCTTGGTGTCAGGTGGTGCTTGTGTCGCTTTCAGGACTTGTGCTGGACAAGTTGGGATAAAAACTGATAAATAACTAAATGGCTTGTGAAGAGCACTTGCAGCCTTGGTGGGAGCCTGTGTGTTTTGCTTTGGATTCAGGCTGCCTTACTTTACATAGTCACGTTTCTTGGCCCTCCTTAGGGCAGGCTGGCAGCAGTTCAAGCTAAATATACATGATCCTCAGTATCCAGTTCTGGAGGCTAAATTTTACCCAGAGAAGGTGCCAGAGGTGAGTGAGGCAGGAGTGCTGTGCCCTTTGCAGGGAGTACTGGCAGCATTGGCACAGGCAGGCAGAGTGCTGGAAGTGTGTACCTGGCTTTCAGGAGCTCTTGCCCCTCTTCTTCGCTGTCATGCCAATGTAAAATGTGCCTGCTCAGGAAAGACAGGAATACAGCACCCAGGTTTGAATGCCAGAGTGAACCTAACAGAACACAACTATTCAGGAGCCTTCCCATGATTATTTCCCTCTCTTTTAAAAACAAAAAGGCATCAGCATTTTTTATGATAACAGCCTGCCAGGATTAAGAGTCTGCATTTTCTGAGGGAGAACACTTAGTGCTGTGCAGTCTCCCAACATCAGGCTGCAAACTTTGGATTTACTAAAGCCAGGAGTGAAGGTGAATGGAGATGGATGTCTTGGTAAGTATCATTTATTGATACCTCAGAACTGGGCAGCTTGAGATAGATGCCCAGGTAGCTGAGGTAGTTGCCTGAACTGTCTGTGAAGTTCTGCTCATTTCCTGGATGGGGTTGATTCACTTTTGCTCTTCTGTTTTGGTGTCTCAGGTATTTAATGAGAGGTGCCGAATTCACTACAAGCCTCCGAAGAGTCAATGATGATGTGAGGCATTTTCCATCAAGGTGGTCCATAACTGTGAGAGCCAAACTGGAAAGAGACCTTGGGTGAGCTGAATTGGGACCCTCCAGAACCAGTAGAACCCAGTCTTGTTTTGTTTTGGACCTACTTAGCTGAATTCTCAAGCTTGAAATGATCCTCCTGTAATTAAGAGAAAACAACTAATCTTTTGTACAAAATATGTGAACAAATGAGTTTTATAGTATTAAAACAATTTTCAATCGGAATGCAAAACTGGCATCTTTCTTGAACTTCCACAGCTTCAGTGATCCCAGAGGGGAAGAAAGAGTAAAACCTATCCTGAGCAGGGAGGAGAAGGCTCTCCCTGAACTGGTGCCTGCTAAAATATCAGTGAACATGGTCTTTTTGTGGAAATAATCTGCTGAAGTCTGAAAGGAAATAAAGATTGCAGACTGATCAGCAAGTGTAGTATGTTCAGCATCTCTGAAAGTAAGAAGTTCCCAGCCTTGTTCTGACCTGCTCAACACGAGCAGCAGTGGCTCAGAGCTGTGTGTGGGTACAGGTTTGCCATTGCTGCTGCAATGCTGACAGGCAGCATCTGTTGCTTACTGCCCTTTGGTCTGTGTTTCCAAGTTCTGGAGTTTTCCTTTATATAGGGAATATGGTGTCGATTTAAACCACTTTGGGTTGGAGCTGAAGATGTGTCTCATTTGGGAATGAGACTGTCCAGGGACCCTTTTTTGTCCCTCCCTCTGAATATTTAAGAGTAGTTCTAAAGGTGAGTTGTGTTTGAGCTGAGGAAACAGCTGTGCATACCTGATCCTGCTGATCCTGGCCATGATGTTGTGTTTAGAAAGCTTGAATGCAGCACCCCTGCAGTACCACAGCATTTAAAGGCAGATGAGTAGGAGGAAAGCTGAATTGCTGCAATTACAACTGTGTATTTTACTTTTTACTTTTTATTTTGTATTTATCTCAGATAGGCTGACAGTCAAGTGACAAGGTCTGTGTGGTTGCCAGCCGAGATGATCTTAAGAACCACTGACCTTAAACAGAGCCCTAAAAATACAGGCCCTGTCTTGCAAACACTTGAGAATTCAGCAACAACAATGAAATTACTGGACATACTCTCCAATCCCTAAAGCTTTGAAAATATAGGGAACGGGATAAATAAATGAAGGAATGTACCTGTGTTACTGAGAGCTGGCAAAGATCTGTGCAGCAGCATCTGTTTTATAGATGTTTGTGCAGTAAAGACTCAGACTGTTTGGAGGCCTTTTATTTTTAGGCACCAGGGTCATTTTGTCTCACCTTTTTTTGAGAATGAGGTAGAAATTTATTTTAAGTCTTTGAGGATATAAATCCTAATGTTCAAACTTCATTTTTTCCCCTCTTTTTTTCTCAAGATACTGCAACTGCTTTATGCAGAACTTTGAGTTGGAGCACTCATTCTTGAAGATTTCTCATTGTTTTTCTGCAACTCTGAAAGCAGAAAATGTTGTTCTTCAGTTGTTAAATTCTTATAATTGTTTATCATCATCATTGTAAATCAAATAATGCTCATCAACCTGGGCTGAATTGGCCCTAATGAAATTTCAACAGGAGATGATGGTCAATTAATGAGATGTTGAGAACAGTAAGTTTTGATTTCAAAGTTGGTACTTTATTATTGACCTCTAGTGTAGGTGTCTAAAATATTTGTTCTCTCCAGGGCTTGGATCAACTGCAAGGACAAATTCTCTTTTTAAGCCAGTTCTACAATAGAAACTGATACGTGTGTGTATAGACTTAGATCAATAGTCTTGAAATATAATTTTTTATTTCTGTATAAACTAGAGACTGTAATGAGAATTAATCATTGTCTTCCTTTATCCATCCAGATGTTTGCTCAGCTGTTGTGGAAAGCTTCTTCACTTAAGCAGATGCTGTGATAAATGACCTGTGAAATGGATGTGATGCGCAGATTTTTTTTTTGCATTACTTATGAGGAAACTATGTTAAAAAAGCCCAAAACCCACAACCCCAAAAAATCAGCCCAACATAGAATTATTTTCAGTTTGAATATAAGGCCAAGCAAGTAGTCCTATACAAATCTGAGTATGAAAAACTGATACCTTGAGAAGACTCCCAAACCCCCAGCATCCCTTCTCGGGGTGTTTGCATACAGAGGGTTGCAGGAAGACATTGAGTTGCTTTATTTGGTTTGCTCTGAGCACAGAGGGTGTCTCTTAGAGTAGTCCCCAGCCAGTCAGGTGGCTCAGAGGCCGTTCAGGTTGCTGTTGAACTCGATGGAGCACATGGTGAGTAAATGGAATTGCATGCCACGCTTGGGGCACGGGGCAGGAGGACGCGGCTCTGCTGTTCCTGGGAGCCTCCGAGTGTGTGTGGAGTGGGTTGTTCTGGCACGTGTGCAAATGGCATCGCTGTGAGCTGTGTGCCACACAGGTAAACTCTGTGTCTAGGGTCCCCTGAGGATTCCAGGATAGGGTTTAGTCAGGGATTGAACCTTGCTTCAACGTTACCATTGAGGTAGTTACAAAATTACTGGGCTGTTTGCTGTCATATGGGGGTTAAATAGTGGACCCTACAAACTGCAGAATTTCATCCTTTCCCTGGTTTTAACTTCTGTTTCTGCAAGTAAGGGCATTTGAGCACAGCTGATGGCTGTGTCCAGAGTCTGGGTGCCTTGCCTCCTCTCCTGGGGCTTTCCCATTGCTTGCAGATGGTGAATAGAGGTGGGCAGATCCTGCATGCTTGGAAAGTCCTCTCAAGCTTGTGCATCTTTCCTTCTGTGAAATAGAAAGAGGTGTTGTTTGAACTTTTTCTATCATTCAGTGCTGTTGTCTTCTGCAGCCTGTAGGCATGAAAGACTGATGAAACAGGTAATTTCTTTATAGAATATTTTTAACAGTAGATTTCAGTTGTCTTGAAGCAGACTGGGAGGAAGAGGCTCAGCATAGGCTGGGCTGTGATAGCTTTGTGCTGCTGAAGGTCGGGTTTCTGTTGATCCTTTTTCATGTACAATGTCAGAAATCTTTCAAAATCAGGATGGGTAGCAGGAAGGGAAACTCTTATTGCAGACCAGCACATTGAAAATCAAGTCTGTTGTTCCTGTGACGATGAAAACAGATGTTCAGCTGGTACATGGAGGGCTGCTTTCCTCTAGAAACTCTTAAAGACATTCAGACCACATGTCCTGCCCAGCCACAATTACATGTTACTGTGAAACCAGAAGACTGACCTTACTGACTTGGCTTTCACAATCATTTCTACAGAGCTGACTTCATTCCTGGTTTAAAAATGACTTGTAAATACATAACCCTGGGTTTTGGATTTTGGTGGAGGTTATGATGTTCGCTTTTTTTGTACTGGTGTTTTTACCAACAATAACTTGGCACTCTTAAAATTGCTTAAACAGGACCAGGGAGTAGTGTCCTGCAAGTGGTAAAGATCTGTTTCTTCTGTGTTGGAGTAGTACACGGTGCAAGATGTTACTCAGCTTCAAAGCTGTACAGAATGCCAGTGGTGATGTCCCAGCAGATTTTCCAAGATAAGAGCAGCACAGTGACGTGAGGGGAAGCTGCCAGTTGTGCTGATGTAGAGCGTGGACTGGGACGTGATACCAGCCACGTCTCAATCACCACAGGGGGCACACTCACCTTGTTGTGCAAGAGACAGCGTGGGGTTGCTTCTTTTCAAGGCAGTGTTCCAAATCCTGGTTCATTACATCCAAAACTTAGTGTAGAGAGGGATGGGTGGAGGTGGGGGTTGCCCCAGATAAGGTTGATCAATTGCCTCTGGTCATCTTTGATCACAGGTCTGTGAAATGTCAGCACTTCAAAGTGGTTTAATGAAATACTTGTGCAGGATGAGTACTGCATCCCAGACTTAGAAATATCATTGGATTTTGGGACAGCCTATTAGCACTGCCATGGAAAGGAAACAGTCTGATTTCCCTCTGTGAACTTCAGCATCAACTTGCTGATAATTAGTCTTGAATTTTTTTCCCCTTCTGCACAATTGTGCATTCTGGGGAAAAAAAAGTTGTTATGCTTTAAAGTGAAAAGCCAGCAAACCCAGAAATATGGAGTCCAGTGAATGATTTCGATGCAACATTAATATCTTTAGTTTCACATCTAAAGTCTTTCCAAGATTATAAATGAACCCTCCTAGACTTTGTGCTCAGTGTATTTGTTGCTAGACAGAATCAAGAGTTCTCCAGGAATGTACTGCTGCCCTGGGGAATCTTAACATCCCTTCCAAATGAAGTGAGCAGGATCTGTATCCTGGTGAGTGGAGAGGTTTATAAAATACCCTGTTTTAGCGCTGGTGCTGTGCAGTTGTTGGACACATTCTCTGATTTCTGGCCTCAGTAAGGTGAACTGGCTCTTCCAGTTCCTTAACTTATCTGTCCTGCTCTATGAATAAGGCACAGGTGGTGGAACATGATCAGCATTTGAGTGAATCAGCAGGGTCTTATGCAAAAGAAGGTTTGAGTTGTCATCAGCTCCATGAATAGGGCTCTGAGGAACTCCTCATCTGGAGAGAAGTTGGTAAAAGTGGCAGAATTCCAGTTTTAACAGCTGTTACTCCCTATATTCCTGAGAACTGGAAGGATTTTTCTCTCTGTTCACAAAAATATTGTCTCAGGACAATGATTTTTCCTCAAATGCTTTTTGTCCACCTCCATAGCACTGGTGCTCAAGTCTGGAAAATTCTGCAATATCTTTTTCAGTAACATGCTGTAATACTAATCAATACTGTTGAGTGTAGGGCCCCTGCAGCCCCAGTTTCTCAATCTCAGGGGCTGTGTACCAAAACCAGGCCTTGAAGTCAGATCTGAAGTACTTTTTACAGCGTCTTGCATCATTTGTTACCTGTGAGGAGGAGGTTCAGTAGTATGGATAGGACACAGATAATTTTGTTGCTATGGCCATAAACCCAGCTCTTCCTAGCAAATTCCCTAATGCTGATCCCAGCAGAAATGCCCATTGCCTGTGTGCAGTATATATTCTCATTTCACCTGCTCCCATGTACCTGCCCCTGCAGACTAAAAATTGTGTCTGGTCTGTTTCTGCTTCTCTGGTCTTTGCTCTGGAACAATTCCTCTTATTTGCTGGAGAGGGGGATGGCAGAAATATTGACAGGGACTAATTTTTTTCTGTGGTCTTGAAGTGTTAGTTCTCCCTTACCATGTAGGCTGCTAGCAGTTATTAGCCTTCCCCCAGTAGGATTTGAGCTTTGTACATTCAGATTCATGAGTGTGACTGTAACTGCAGATTGAATACTTCTGGCTATATGTTCTCCTGTGATCTGTTTTAACAGTGTACGTTGAAATTGGGACAGCTTTTGTGTTTTTTCATTGTACTTTGTCTTCCAGGAAA